ACGTCTACTTAGCCGCGTATCCTTCTGCATAAACTCACTGGCAACCGAATCATGTGCGCCCTCCCGCCACCGCGTTCGCGCTCAGACATATATCTAGGATACTACTAATACAGATCTAAAATCTATGATAGCTAGGCTTTGCTATACCGGTAGTACAGTAATAAGATACAGCTGTGTAACTTTAATGACTTCGGCTATATTAACATGTTATCATGGATATCGCGTCGACGCGAGCATAGTGGTGGTGGTGGAGGGAGAGTGGAGGAGGGGGCGGGAGGGGGCTCTAATACGCAAAAGCAGTTTGCCGCGAGATGCCGTGCAAGTGTCATTAATAATTAAAGATGGCATCACCCTTCGTGCGTGATAACTCACTCCATTGAGTTGCTGAAATCCTACCGGCTAAAATCCACAGTATATTCAGGTAGGCGAAGAATTTCACTCAGCTTGTGAGTTAACACATCTGCATTGCAGGTTGCCAGGCAAATAATTATGATTAGAAATAGTGCACGCTAGACAAACTGCAGCCGGATATACTGCCGCGAAGCGCGAACAGCGCCACACTGGCGCCATTCTATGGACAACTCGCTGCCTATATTAGAATACTTCACGAGGCCATTCTGGTATAGGGTAAAGCCGTAGAATCGGTCAATTCAGCAGTTCTGGCCATTGCAGAAGTCTTTCGGCTTTGCACGTAGGCGAGAATAAATTCCAAATACTCGCTTTTTGTTGCTTTGTGGCTCGGCGCCTGCCTTTCGTGTACAAAAATATATTTTCGCCTTTTCGCTGATTTATGCCCTGACATTAATTTGGAAGTTATCCGCCACCCCATAGATGGCGCGAACGACCCATCTACGTAGCATTTTCAATTTTTTTTAAAAAAACGCTCCCGTCTGCATGACCTAGACTGCCGCGCGCGCGGTCAGCAGTCGACGCACGGCTAGCGTAACTCACTTTCAGTGTAGCCAACGATAGTTCGCTGAGTGAAGGTCGGTAGCCGTCTAGCCCTGCTCGTCACTGCCGCATGAACTTTGAGCGATAAGCTCCAATCTGATGTTCTGATGTTTGCCATCCCCACGTACTCACGTACTCACGTAGTGTAGCGCGTGGAACTGTCGAACTGTCGACCAGTCTACGTGCACATGGCGTTATAACCATGGAAAAGTTCTTGTGGCTGGGTTATTTCCGCAACTAAACACCAGATCGCAGCACTGAGCATCAGCAACATACAATGGAGTCTTGAGAAGAAGTTTTGAGGCGTATTCTTCAGTCAGACGATGATATTGTCGTCTTTCGTTGATTTCAGATCACAAGATGAACCTCACGATCGGGATGAGGCGTATTTGCAAACGCTATAGTGACTTAGACAGTGAATCTGAGGTGAGGCCCGGTGATGTTATTGTTAGTGCCATACTCAGTACTGTAGAGTGTAGTAATGACCGTGGCAATGTTATTCACGGCAGTAGTGAGCTAATAAAATACGGCACTTAATAACAATCCCTGACGCACTTCTTTACAGCAATATGTTACCATTAAAACGAGTGTAAAATTAAATTAATCCGAGTTGTAATCACAGAGAAATATACATTTATACATCGGCTACTATGTCAGAAATCGAAACGGAGAAATCATCGTTTTCCTATTTTTCACAGTGAGTGACCGCCTGTGTGCAAAATGGGTGAACGTATGTGAAATATCTACTGTTAGTACTTACTGCGACATATCCATGACTAACTGACACCACTAAATTGGTAAAATGTTCCATGCACCTTGAGAAGGTGGCACAGAGTACTACAGTACGGTACTACTGTAAGGTACGCACTACAGTAAGGTGTGTTGCGAGGTGTTAAAACTATTTTGGGCGTGGTATACTTGTTGGATCACTAGCATATGTACATGAATGTACATGAATATACATGTAATGACAGCTGTAGCAGGGTTGAAGCTGAATGATACTGGCTTAGTGAATATCGTGGTTGTATCATGTCTCTGACATCATCAAATCGCTCTGACAGTTCACATGTACCGTTATATGAAGAAATTAGCATGTACGAAGGTGGCACATAGTGTTAGCCATCGAATAAAATTGAAAATGAAAAATCGGTAAAAATTTGCCTAAAACCTTGAGAGTATCCTTAAGACAAGTAATAACTTAAAATAAATAATTGTGCTTCTTTATGTTCTTTCAAGTTTGGCGCCTAATTTGAACTGTTAGTGAACTGTATTAAAATTACGAAGTAAGATATTGGGTCTAAAATTTAATTTGATTAAATGTATTACACATTTAATAAATTTCTATGTTATTAATTAGGACAAGCCAACATTTTGCAGGAAAAGCAAAAATATCTTGTAGCTTGTCCGTCGGACAAGCAAAATCTTTCCCTTATTTCGAACACTGGGACTGCAACCCTTCTGTACACGTACACACAATGTAAACTGCCATCTGTGCAGGCATCGTCCCCATAGGTTTATAAGCTAATAGTATAACTTTCATTATAAGATGTATAAATTTTAGTTAAGTAAGTCTAACGACTACTAAGTCTACTTCACTTTCCTATCATTCGGGGATCAAAATGACACATATGTATATAATCATTTGTACCTCATTGTTAAATATACACATGTTTGCATATATGCTGGTGATCAGCTGAAGCACCAGATGTTTGAGGCACCGATTTATAATGGCAGCAGACATCAAATACTCACTTCGACTTGTAGCAAAACTTGTACTCAGCAAACAACGTGATGACTAGGAAGATGAGCCCCATCGTTGCCATGGCAACCATACTGCGAGGTACCAATTGCCAGGATAATGGCGAAACAATCTTGTCATACTGGTCTGTAAGATTTATTAGTTGGGAATTTATTAGAATTTGTATGCAGAAGACTTGCCGTTCAAACTCACAACGTTTTTGTAGAATGATCAAGTGTTCCTAAATGGAAACAACTTCGAAATGTCAAAGTTCAGTATGATTAGAAATGTTCAAAAACAGAGAATTATAGTGGGCATCACGATCAAATTGTTTTAAACTATTTAATGATAATTTACATGCATATATAAACATGTCAAGACAAGTAGCCCATGTATAATCAACAAATAAACAACTATAAATGCTAAGCATTGGCCGATACGATATACAAATAGTAAATATTTGTGTAATAGATAGGTGTACCTGTACGAGCAAAATACTGGTTGTAGTATTCATTAAAGGCAATGTCCATCAGAGTTCGCCCGAGTGCATAGTTGGGGAAAATCAGAAACACAGTCTTCAATGTCTCGTGGATTGTCTTGAAGTATTCATAATCAGACGTTCCCTGCAAAAGTATACACAGTGTTAACAATGAATTAAAATATGTAAAATAGGTTAATTTGTGATTTAGACAACTACCAAGTCAAGTAACAGTACACTATATAATTATGCTTGAAAATCTTGGTAGTAACGAATTAGAATGTGGCAAATGAATGAACTCATTACATGATACTAGGGTATCATATAATTTGTCATGATGATACACTTGTCCTTTGATGATACACTATTCAAACCACAAGTATACAAATTACCAAAACGCCCAAAATTTGCCTTGTTTTAATGTGAAACGTGCATTACGTTTATTGCCAGGCATTTGTGAAACAAATAATAAAATACGTGTTTCGTTTAAGAACATGGCAGCTAATTACTACCTACACGTCATAAACAGTGAGCACAATTTGGAATCAGAATGACTAAATGCTGTTACTTAGAAAATGGTAGGAGAACGCAGTGTTATGCGTATATTATGTGCGTGTGCAACTGCATGCAATTTGATATTCCAAACTTTTGATGGAATATTAAGAAAAGTGCAGGTGTACAATAAAGATTTAAAGGGATACATGACCCTAGGGTTCCTTGCTTATTTTCAGTTAAAATAGGTTTAAATTACACTATATAAAAAAATTCCACTGTTTATACTCATTAGAAATGTTTAAAAAAAAGGTTAGGTATAAATATTACTGCACTTTTGTGATTAGCCCTCGGTCTGTAATGTGTAAAATTAATCTGAAAAAGCGCAACTTTGTCAGGGTGGCAGCACAATCACAGTGGTGTCATGTCAGCGGCCATAAATAAAGATTTCGAAACTCACTGTGGTTTTATGACAAATGTGAATGCATGATTATAGAAATTTGTAGGTATATACTATTATTTATGCACTTACTATTATAACATACCCTAAAATCCTAGGGTGTTGTATCCCTTTAAATGACATGACTATCAAAACATTTGTAACATACTACCTGATCCATTAATAAGTTCCCAATGATGGGAAACTGGAAAACAATGAATCTTATAAGCACAGAGAGGGAACACACAAATAGCACATGCGCATGCATTTTATACTACTTTCATATGTCTGCTGAAATTGATAGAACTTATATTCTGAAGCGAGTCGCTTCAATATTCTACTGGTTTTTACTTTCCACCCTGTGCTAAATTTTAGCGAGGTTCGTGCTTGCCTGATATTTGACTGCACGAATCAAGGACTATGCAGCATTACTGACATGACGGTTTGGATACAGGCGGCCTAATGAAAAATCTTCTTGAATGCATTTACTACAAGATGGTACTGATTGGCTAGAGAATGCGGTGTAAAACGGCCGTATACATTAACGTCAGTGTGCAACGATACTGGTTCACTGTTAGCAGTGATGTTTTGCCTAATGTAACAATTAAGTTATTCACTTAAGAAATTAATATTAGCATGACAACTCTTAATTCCTCTTTAACTTTTTACCACGAATTTCTTTTTGCTTTTATTATTATATAGATTATTTAGCCTCTTGGTTTTTTTGCAAGCTTACAGTAAAAGTAAGCAGTGAAAAATAGTAAAATCTACTGAGAACTGAGATTTGGGGTCAGGACCCTCATACAATAGGGGCTGCATTGCCACGTGTAAACGTTCAGGGCATACTCAACAGGAAACGAGACAATGAATACAATTAAATACCTTAACTGCGAACCGTTTACTTTTGGTCATATAGTGTGACATATAGAGGGCCCATGACCTCGCAGTACTAAGGTGTCAATAGTTATCTAGTAATATTTTAGCTACGCAATGTGCAAACTTAAAAATCGGTGATTGCAAATAGTAAGATATGCTACGTATCCTGTAGCTCACTGCATGTCCCTCAGAACGCTTTATCATATTGTAACAACCAGCAGCTGATTGTTTGTACGTAAGCCACATCAAGATTTCGTTAGATTATTAGTAACTGTGACGTGCGACATCTTTTATATGCGGTAGTTTAGCCCATCGTTATAAACAGGCTGCACCAGAGACGCAGTGTACTGCTTGTGGTTGTTGCTTGTGGTGGTGTGCACACACGGTAATTTCCCAGTTCGCCTACTCCCATTTCGTCTACTCTCAGAATGGGTAATAGTGCCACTTCGTCATAGTATTTTATATAACAGGGTTAATTGTTACTCAACCGTAAAGATTGGAAACGTACTGCTTACGTTTGTGTTGAGTTACGTCATAGTATTGATATTACAACAAATACAAGGAGAAATTAGTGTGGATGCCACTCCGTATAATCTATGTATGCTAATCAAAACCATATATTACAATTATAAATGGTTATTTAGTGGACAAACTGATGGTAGACAAAATGCGAATGGGATGGATTTTTAGTGTCGACGAATTGGGAGTAGGCGAAATGGGTGTAGACCAATTGGGAGTTTTGCTATAGACGAAATGGGAATTCCACCATAGTCGAAATGGGAGTAGTCCAACCGGGCATAAACCGCACACACGCTTGGGTACATGTCTGCACGGTTCTTGTCTCTGTTTGCGAGGTTTTGTTTGTGCCTTCATTATGGTATATTAGAGTTTAACTGTCTTTGTTAAAGAAGTTTGCACTTCAAATCGTTTTACGCCTCTATCCATCAAGACAACCTTACGGCATGACTCTCAACATGCATCTATGCGTGCCACACACACACACACACACAGTCACTATAAATCCATGAGACAACAAGCAGAACATCTGTCAACACATCAACACTGGACATTAATAACAAAACAAGCAATGCCACGACACAACACGACATAGCTCAACACAACACCACATGACTCAACGAAGCACTCATGACATGACACATTATGGCACAACACAAGGCCATGCAGATACAACAACGTAACCAGCAGGGCAGCTCAATCAATGCTAGGGAATATTGTTTACATCGTTAAGGTTACATCTTTTAATTATAATCCCAATAAGCATGACAATATATTCAGTAGTAATACAACGTGTAGATATGATAGAGTGCTCAGCGGCACTACATCCATATACAGCGGCATAACATACGGTTATGTAATCATAGCATGATGTATGGGCCTTGATCCACTGGCTACTCTCTTCCGACACTAATCTCTGTGACATCAAAATTTTACTTTACAAAATCTTGTAGTAGACATGATAGAGTAACTAGTATATAGAGCACGACAACCCCATGCTATCACAGGCTCACACAAGCACTCACATTGCCAAAGGTGAACATCTCCAGAATGAAGCTAGTGAGGATGCAGGTGATGCCAACAAAGAGGTTGCCTACGATGAGACAGATGTAGGCCATGCTCGGCTCCGTGAAGAAGAACGACGCCGGATACATGATGGGAGTGATTGCACACCTGCAAAAACAAAAACTACATGTTAATTTTTTTAGTAAACCAAATGAATTTGCTTAGAACTACATTTTTTGTTAGTTAAAATTGGTTATTACATTATCTAAAAATTATGTGCATAACTGTCGAATTTAGAATTCACTTCAATTATTGCACAGTCGTAAGTCAAAATGTGTTTAAATGTCACAGTGACCTTTTGACGCCTTAGTGACCTTGTGCACATCTGATAAATGCGTTCTTAGTAATCTCTAATAACTGTTCACATAACATTTGTTGCTGCCTCTATAGAAATTACTGATGTATTTCCAAGAAGCAGACACACAGAGCACGACTGATTACGGTGTGTTAATATAAGCATTGGAAATGTAGGTGCAATGAGGTCCTGGAACATTTTGTTGCCACATCACAGTAATTGCTACATCTATCTATATGAGATAACCACATACATCTGGGATACTATTGCTATGTGCAAGACCGGTCTCTGCATTTCTCGAGTGCCCACCAAGTTGTTGACAACGTGGCAATTCGTTACTAGGCAGTGTTTTTAGTATGCCACTATCCCAACGCCCATTGGCTAGAGCTAGCCATCAATCACGCAAGACAGTTAGGTCAATTGTTACTATATTTCCGAGATTAACGATTGAAAATCGATTATGGTGATATGAAAATATGCTATGAAGTCCAAACTTATGGAACACAGACAGACAAACAGACATGCACACGCGTGCAGGCCATATTTTTGTATGTAGTGAACTGCAAGATATATAAAAGTTGTGCCACGTCTTATTACTAAACTATAAAAGACTTAGTGTGGCTCACTACATCATTGATCATGAGCGCCAACTACATCCAGTACTTACCCATACATGAGAAAGAGAGCGACAACAGCTGGAAAGTTCATTTCGGACGCATACGCTGGAACGTTGAACAACCGGAAAATGCTGATGCAAATGATGCTGGGGATGAGTGAATTGCACTAAAAACAAATAGCATATACTGTCATGAGCAATGTTCAACGAGTTACGTTGCTATAGAAGTAAAACATGTGGATGCGTGCTCGCGCATGCACACACACGTGCAAGTGTGTATGCATGCACATACCCACTCGCACACATGCACGTACACACGCACGCACGCAGGCACGCACCATACTGACCTGAAGCCTATGTGACCAATATAATCACTGACACAGATTAGCATAAATAATCCAAGCCGCGTGGCTTTCACATGAAATGACCCTATGTAGTTGTAGCTACCATGTCCCAGAGGAAGTTGGCAAGCCAGTAGGTGATCGGAGAGACTCCGCACATCATGTGTAGGTGCTTGGCCTTCATGCTGCGCTCGTAAACGAGGAACAGCACGAAGCTGGCCGGAACGAACGACATCGCTATCACCACGAAGATCGCGATCAGCACGTCAGTTCCCTGCAGCCTGCAAGTACACACGTCCATTACATATGCAGTGCAAGAAGATAGTGCAGAAGCGATAGTTTGGTGTAATACCGGACACGTGCGCTGTTGTCTACAAGCAGCATGCAGCTATTTCACTGATCTATATATAACAATTCGATAGTACATTTTGCGGATTGTGTAATGTCACTAGGCCACTGTATTGGTAAGCTCAAGAGTCTGCTTCCTAGCAGGAATTGACAACATAGAGGTTGGTTTTGGTTTACTAATATAGCTTCCATAAGTGGCATTATTTGTTATCAGTGATAGTACGATCTTATATCCTGTTAACATATATTTAGATCAGTGAACTACTGTCAGTATAATGTACACAACTTATACTAGATGCATAAGTTTAAGCTAGGCTCTTATCTATTTTTTTATTGTTAGTCTAATTTAGGATGGCTGTTTTGTAACTGTGATTTAAATTCAGTGACTATAGTTACAGTTAGTTATACAGCATTTCCGTGTACTTCCGAAACACAACATAAACAATTAAGATGCCTGCCACTATTGGTGGAGGCAAGTGTCGTGAACCCCACTTTAAATATATAAACTTACAGGTAATCAAACGATAGAAGATCATTAGTTCCTGCCATGGGGTGATTTATCACTGTGATTCCATAAGCTGCTGGGTTGCCTTTGCTTGCAGGCAGGTTAGCCCTCAATATCGCATTATTCAGAGTATTAAGGTATGTTGGTATCGAGTGATATCCCTGATGGTTGTACCATGCCTGAAATATGTTTTACATTATTAGCGAGTGTATTTTTACAGGCGACCTAATTATAAAAAATACACTTTCAATCTTGTGATTGTTGAGTTTGCCTTCGATTTTGAAATTACAAATTATGTCAGCAAAGATATCAAATCGAATATTATATAGGACATATCGAATATTATATTAGGACATATTTGCAAATTGTTCCCAATTTATGCCATGCAGCCTTCATTATTATATAGCATTACCTTTGCAACATTTCGTACGGCAATCTTGCGGAACAAAGGCTTCGCATTTTGGCCAAACCACTCTGGCACATAGTCTACCACATTACCAAACGATAAGCCACCGTACCTGTGAATATACATCAACAAGCATTAATTACAGCCAAACATGTGTTAGTGGATACCACTACAGAAGGACAACTATCTACATAGGACACTTTTAGCATTTACCCCAAGTGGCCACTACAAAGACAGCAATGTTTGCCAATAAAGGGATGATAGAAAACCATATCAGACAACTTATGTAACAACAGGTTCTCTAACACATAACAAAATGCACACGAATTATGACTTTCCCAAACAAGAAAGAGAAAAAGAAGACTTCACCATATAATTTTAGCCTAACAGCGCTTTTAAAAGAGATAAAAGATTTTAGTGCCGAGTTAAGCTTACCTTCGTAGTCTGAACTTGTCGGTAGTGTACAGGAAGTATTCGGATGAGTTCTGACCAGTGATGTCGATCAACATGTCACCTGTGATGGCCTGCTTCTGCGGTGGGTCAGTGTAGCCGCCCGGCGGACAGATGAAGCCAGTCTTATCAGGAGCACAGTAACACAGGGGGTACATCCTAGGATGATCGCTTCTCTCTGTCGCTAGACCAGATGCAAGAAAGGACGCATAAATAATAGCTCCACAGTCACCAGATATATAAATTTAGTTAATTAGGTTAGTTACATGGTTTTAATAGTGCCAGATAATGTTTCAATCACGTTAAGGTACACTTTACATTACTTGCCTTTTTAATATGTTTTCCTAATACCCACTAGTTGGAGTTTTACTTTATTATTATAAACATCTAGAGAATAATAATAATAATAACTATTATTATTATTATTATGATAATGATGATGATGATGATGATGATTATTATTATTAGCATCATCATCATCATCATCATCATCATTAAATATGACTGAATAAAAACATAGTAAACATAAGCGAATTAAAAAAAAGTAACTGGTTGATACCAGGTGGCAGTGTTGTGTAGTTGACGTCAGAGCTTTGCTGTAATGGTGCTGCAGTCGGTGGTGGCGGTACGAAATTTTCTAGAGGCACACCTTTCACAAACACACTCATGCATGATGCTGTAAAATACTCTGCTAGTAGATAGAAGTTGTTTGCCGACATGTTGTGAAAATCTGAAAATTGCAAAGGAGACCATCACCAATACAGAATACACAATATATGACACGTAAATGTCAATCTAATTACAATATCTAATAACAAAATCTAATTGTAGATTCATGTACATGTACAGGTATGCACCACGCCTGCATTCGCACACGTGTGCACGTATCCAGGCAAGCATGTACCAACGTATACATGCACCCACACACAGACACACGCAAACATGCACACACGCACGCACGCACGCACGCACGCACGCAACGCACACACACACACACACACACTGGCAAGCACGTGCACAATAAATGCACACACGGTACGCACACCTGCACGCACACACACAACACACACACACAAACACACACAACACACACACCACCACACACCCACGCACACACACACACACAACCCATATCTTGTTGCAGTGAGAACAGTAACTCAACCAGTATCACTTCCATCATCATTCCAAGAACATATAATATATGCGTGTGTGCATGCCTTCATGCATGCATTCGTGCATGCTTTTGCTCCTACCTGTGTTGTTGAAGGGATCCTTTAGCACACACGTGGCACCCACGCCTGATGGTAGATAGAGTGTGGCGACTAGCTGCTGTGGGTTAGCATCCTGAGACCATTGTGGCCAACATTCAGGTGGCTCCTGCAATGGAACACAATTATTGGCTTATTCACTCGACATGAATGACAAGTAGCTCTAGCCAATCTGCATTATGGTAGAAGCATTTAAAAAATGCGGCATGGTAACAAATTAAAGTAAAGACACTAACTTGAGATGTACATAAGGAAAACATCTGTACTAACTGGTCTAGGTTGACTACCTAGCAACCACAAGAGAGGTGTGGTAATTTTACTCAAATACATAAATTACACTATTGGTAAACATTAGTAATCACGAATAATAAATATAAATATAATAATAATATAAATATATCCAAGTTATGAATTTACCTATTAATACACCTATATTTCCACAATCTTCATCTAGATCATGAATATAAAATTGTTACAAATTTACAAATATAGCCATGAACGAACAGAAATGCTACTCTTTCCAAATAATAGATTGCAGTAAATACATATACCCCATGCAGTGTTTCCTCTGCATTGACACAAGCGAGGCGGGCCGCCTCGCTCAAATTCTCAGCCGCCACACAGAAATTTGTCTAAAACACAGCCTCGCTGATGAAAACCACTGTTCTTCCATCAATAAACTACACTTTATTGAACTAAAATGCAATAGTCTCATACAATGTGTTCAGAATAGCTTAGAATGCACCAAATTGCACAATTTTTCCAAAATTTTTATGAGGGCATGCCCCCGGACCCACCTAGCTGGGCGAGCACATGAGGTGCTCGCTTTGTTAGGACCTCAAAACGTGGAAACGCACCAAAAAAAATTTACCGCCTCACTAACCTTTTCGGCCAAGGGAAACACTGCTATATGTATATGCCGATATCTATAATTGCTACTTTTACTAAATAATGCATGCGATAAATAAATATAAACCATTTATATACCTACGTGGAACTCCTACTTCAGCTAAATAATATATTGCAGAAAACAAATAGCATGTATGCATATCTGCCCTGACACCTACTTGCATCTCATCAGTAAATGGTATAGCATTGCCATGGGGCTGCGTGACATTGAAGTACTGGTCAGGAGGGCTGAGCACCATCATTGGCAAATCCTCACCCATGCCAGGTGCTGTCAGAGCCACGGTCATAGCAATGCAGACAAAGAATGCCGGCAGTAACACCTATGAGACAGCAGGGATGTGATTGCCACCATCTGGAGAAAATGCATTCTATAGGACACCGATTAAAACGTGTGTATTCACTCATTCATGCACCCTCGTAACATGGGGCTCTGTTACTTAACTAAAGCAATCATTACATAACATTACTGAATATTATCAAAGTAGTTTACAACAACAGGCAATTCTGTCATGCAGGGACCACAGCATTGCAACACGAGACAGCAGCGTTGCAGCATACCTGTGTGCACACGCCCTTCCAGTTTCGGCGAGTGTAGTGCATGCGCTTGACTAGAATGGTCCAGAAGTGTCGCGCGTGGCGCCAGTTCCTTGTCATTGGATAACGCCCTCTCTCCAGACGGTCAGTGTTGACCAGTCCAGCTAAAATAGACACAGCCAACCCTATATATACACACCTTTACTATACAAACCAATCCCCATCACTCCATGGCATGTCTATTTCATCCAAAATGCCACGCAATAAATGCAATAGCAGTGATATTAGCACTGCTGCGTAGTAGCAGGATGAATATATATATACATAAGTGTGAGCACAGATATGTTCACCATGTTATACATGCCGTGTTCTTGAGCATTATAACAATGATGCTAACGACTGCTTTGCACTTGTATTGAGGTTAACACAATTACCTACAACGTAAACCACTGTCACCATATATCCAGAGAAGCACCACAATCTACTGCTAGTGACCTCTCTTGTACGTGACAAGAACTAAACGGGTTTTGCATCATCTTACACACCATAGCAATATAGGCACTTATTACTATCAATAACATCGCTATAGTGACCTTCACGCCAATGAGGGTGATCACAGACCCTTGGCAATAGCATTAACTTGAGAAAATATTAACTACAGTAGAAGTACGAAAATCCAGACTGCTCCGGGATTGGGTCGGTTCGGACTTTTGGCTTTTCCGGATTCTCGAGCAGTACTTTTAAAATTCAAATTTAAGGAGGAATAAAGAAGAGATGAACAGGTAAATTTTGATAGTTTATTCATTAGCAAATACAGCATGCTTCATTTATTAAAACGAGCAGTTTTAAAGAAAAATAAAGTCAACACTTGACAAAAATGCAAACATGAAAATATTTAGCATTTACAAGCACAACGTGTTGATGGTGTGAATTAGATCAATTGTGTTGATCAAATTAATACAAGCCAAACAGCACCCATGCATGCACGCACACACACAAAAGGCCGCAAAATTTAAAAAGTTTGAAGTTTAGAAAAGTCTGGGTTATCGGGTGGGCCGGATTTCTGGCATCCAGATTTTTTTACTTCTACTGTGTGCTGTTTTTTTGGGGATTAACATACAAGGTACATAGTTAATTATAAACGGTGTTATAAATACCAACTTCTATCACATAGTTAGCAGTTAGCTAAAAAGTTCCTCTGAGGAAAAGTATAGTTTTTGTTCTTTTTTTCATGAATTTCATTATTGTCAAGTGCATTCTTGCAGTTTACCCACTTCTCCTGGCTACAGGTTAAACCGTGAGCATGTGTACCGATGATTATATAACAGAATGCCATGATATTGAAACTACAGTCAAGCCTATGTATGTAGTCACCTCTTTGGAACAGTTTCCTGTACATAAAGGAAACTTTTGCCATTTCCAGTGAATGACAGTTACACAGTAAAAGCACCATACAGAATAGACACCTGTTTGTAAATTGCACTTTGCACTTTGTAATTTCATTGCGGGACTCTTATAAACAGGTGTGTCTGTCAGTATAGTTCTAGAAGTATGTTCGAGAATGAACATAGGTGCACGATACCTGTCGAGTAGTCAGTATTGCTGTTGCTGTCACTACTGTTATTCACGAATGAGTGCGAGCCAATCAAGGGCTGTGGTACATTGTTTTCTGCTAGGCTGCCTAGCTCTAGATCATGTGGGCCGCCGACAGTGTGAGCTGGCGAGGCATTGTCATGTCTACCAGCAATCTCGCCATCTAGAAAAGGATGTAAAAGGAAAGAGCATTGTCAGAGAATCTTAGCCATTACATATATTTATAGTTTGCGTGAAGCTCTCATACATTACCAAGGGCAAAGTCACACTAATAGAAGACATATAAGACGTATACTATGTATAATAATAACAGGTAGCAGGAGTGACATGATATCGATAGTTACATTATGTCACTCATGTTATTAGTTTGTACATATATATATATATATACTAGCGAGATACCCAGCGTTGCCCGGGGAAATCAGTGGCATTACTCAGTTGGTGACCGCTTAATTAGTTGAAAGGAAAATACCCAAAAAAATCTAACTATCTATCTATCCATGCATCCATGCATCCATCCCATCCCATCCCATCGCACCGCATCCCATCCCATCCCATCCCATCCCATCCCATCTCATCGCATCCCATGTCATCTCATGACATGCCATGCCATCCCATGCCATCCCATCCCATCCCATCCCATCCCATCCCATCGCATCGCATCCCATCCCATCCCATCCCAACCCATCCGAAACAGTACAAAATAATAAGAAATCAAAAGATAAGACATTAAAAATTAAAATTAAAAAGTCAAAAAGTAAAAATAATACATACTAAAGAGGTAGGTAAAGGGGAAAAAAGGAAAAAAGGGGGAAATAAGTTCCCCAGCTCGGACTCAAAGAAGGTAGGAGACGGATCATGTTTTAGCAATTACGCCACTGCGCCGTTAAGGGTATACACCATGGATTCACACGTACGCGATGTTAATCTGTACGCACCGCCATCTATTGATGAATAGAATTTTTATCACTTTTTAACTTTTTTAACTTTTTGTTTCAGCCAGAACCACCTCCCAGACGTGCTGATTCTGAAAATATCTTTAGTTTTCCTCTAGTTATGCGAGTATGGACTAATTCGGCTGAACAACTTTATATATACTAGCCGACTAATACCCGTACATCGACCAAATCGTGCCTTAAAATATAAACCTCATGTAAGTGACACAGTTGAAGTTAAATATTGTGGCGGGAATGACACGCGAAATAATTCCCACAGACGTAATGAATGAATTTTGACTTTTACAATTTTTTTTTTACTTTTTAACTTTTTTGAAATTTTTGTCTCAGCCAGAACCATCTCCCAGACGTGGTGATTCTGAATATATCCTCAGTTAGCACGATTGAGTGACAAATCACGGAGAAAAGCGAGGTCAAACAAACACACACACACACTGACACACAAGATTAGCCAAATTATAGTATAGATAGATTATATAGGAATGATCTATCAATTTCTAATAACAGTTATCTGTCACTGCCTATATGATGCGTCTATGAGTGTTGGCGTAGATACTGTGTGCTATGCCCTCTCACTTGTAACCTTCACCGCTGCCTGGCTAGCACCACTGTTTCACAGCACCGCAAACAGAAATACGAGTGTGTACGTCGTTCCTGCCAGTAGAATTTGCCTCTTCACAGCAAGTGCTATGCAGTGCCTCCACGTTGGCAACAGATGTAAACTGCGTAACGAGAGGCCCCAGGCTAGACTGCAGGGATCTCGGAGCAGGTTTGACTCCCAGACGTGCGGCATGCATAGCCCACCGGCGTGTGGATTGCGTCGAACATGTCTCTCATGCCTAATCTGTGTGCCTAATGATGGCTACCTTCATTGTTGATGCCAGCAGCCTGAGCTATGTTGAGGAAGACCTCTTCCAGTGTGGAGTCCTTCAGGCCATAGCTGGAGATGTGGAGTTGATCAAGGCTGCGCTCCAGTGCCCTGAACAGAGACACAAAGCCTCCACTCCTTATCTCATCCGTAGGAAGGATGTAGTGCAGCTCGTGGTTGCTCTCAGATTCTATATAACATCACATCAGAAGAAACGATATCTATCACATAAAGAGGTTATGTAGAAATATCATATAAGCAATGATAAACGAGATATCATAGCATTACTGCCAACCAGTGCTGCTTGACGTTGAATTCACTGTGATGAATTTTTCCTCTATTTCCTGCAACTGCAATTGTGAATGTCTTTTTTTTTTAAATAAAAAACGGCATCTATGAAACAAATTTATTTGAGATCTACGTCTGTTGTTGACGGAAAAATGAATGGATGCATTGAAAGATGCTGATATCACAAGATATGCATATGACCAAAATTATGTGACCGCCTTTTACTTCACATTTACTAGAGTACCGTTAATATATATTTATTTATATATGACAGATGCGAATAGAATACTGGTGTTAAATCACTAGTTCTCAGTATTTGAGTGGATGCAAGCACACGACTGTAGCTCGTTACCTAGGTATGCCGTCTCAACGTGGCTGGTGATGAAGTCGGTGACCTGGCTTTGCTCGCACAGGGTACTGAATGGTTGCATGGAACCTCGTGATGAGTTGAGAATGCATGGATCATCTATAACACACGTTTTGGTCACATATCAACATGATCTGTGTCTACTATGATCAAAATCCTCTGTACAATCAGAACAATGTTAGGGCTGTTGTTCATCAACCATCACCAACAGTTACCAGCATCATAAGTCTTGCATGGTATATCTTTTACATAAAACCTCATGCCCTAAATAATACGTGACATCCTAGACTCATGATATCATAATTATTTCTGACTACACAAAAAGCGGACATCACCCGCGAATACAGTACGAACAGAAAACAAGGGCAACTGCTGCACACGACAGACCTCAGACCTCAGACCACTGCCACCACGAGGTAATGTGATGGTTGATTATACAGTCACCTATATGCTAGTCGTCACCTCTATAGAACAGACACCTGCTTAAAAGGGACACTTTTAGCCTTTGGTTGATAGGTGCACAGTGAGCCATCTCTACAGAATGGTCCCCTGTCTATAAAGACAACATTTGGCTTTCCCTTGGGTGAGCCATATATATGTGTTTGACTGGTGCATAATGTTATGCTCTCACCACTGTCACTGCTACTGTCAGGCATCTTCACTACTGTAAGGTGGTAGCCCTCTCCCAGCACAGACTTGAGGAACAGTGAAGAGCCGCAGCACTTCAGCTGACCATTAGATATGATGGCAATGCGGTCTCCTAGTATGTCTGCCTCATCCATGTGATGCGTCGACAGCAGGACTGTGCGCCCTTAACATCATCACAGTTGCAGTTAGTTACAATTCGAACAAGAGTAAACTACGTGATACGGCAACATAAACCATGTTTCTGATTGGGAGGGTCATTATTTGGATTAGGGTTGGGACTAGCATTGGGTTTGGGGTTAGGGGTTAGAGTTAGTGTTTGGGCTTGGGTTAGGATTTGGGTAAGGGCTAGGGTTAGTATTAGGTTTATGGTTAGGGGTTACGGTTTGAGTTTGAGTTAGAGTTAGGGTTTGGATAATTAGGGCTAGCATTACGCTGATGATGTGTCACCACATGAGGAGACTGCATGCACCTCACCTTTCTTGTACTTGATCAGCAGATCCCAGATGGCACGACGAGCGAACGGGTCGACGCCAGCTGTTGGCTCATCCAGTATGATCGTCTTCGCTCCGCCAACAAACGCGATCGCGACCGACAGCTTTCGCTTCATGCCGCCGGACAGATAGTCGACGCAGCTGTTGCGCTTGTTAGGTAGTCCTACGTCCTCTATCAACCTGTTACATGTGCACACATGTATGTATGAGTGGTTAGCATAGGAGGGCATGTTGGTTCTCTATTCCATCTTAACCTGTGATATATGCTACGAAATGTCTTACAAGGGACATGAATTTACACCTGACGCAGTGGCCTGCTTTACTTGCAGCCAGTTAGAAATTATTTACTAGCAGGGTTATAGGAAAGGTATTTCGAATCAAAAGTGGGTCCCCCAAAGGCTACCCATAAATGCTGAGTGTCGTTCATTAATATATTTCTCACGGAAATACCCGAACATTTTCAAAGTGAGCTTAGGCGCAAGAGACTCGATTCCTACACGCCCGTAAACGCCTCAATGAGCCTTGCTTACAATGCAATATCTCTGCCTTGAAGTGTCGTAAAGACAAGTAGTTAGTCTTGTTTTAGAGAGGAAAGAATGCTACTTAATGCAATACTATCAAGTTATTCCGGTCAATCATTTCAAATAGAATAATTTGGCCATAAACAGCACTCCTCTGCGTTTTCTTGTTATACACTATGTATTATTAGCTCTTGATGTAATATCATGTTGATACTACTCCCAAAATGTAATAAGCAATAGCAACTATTTCCTCCTATTACCACTGATTATTTACTACTTATAATATTCCTACAGAATTTCTATAATCTCTTTTATACCTCACTGCATAATTTTCCCATCTGGGTATATATGACTGCCGTTTTAGCCATAGAGAATACTGCTGAACGGTTTATTATACTGCTCACTGGTCAATTTCCTCCTTGATGTTCTTGTGGGTTCCTCCCTTTAGCATGGCATAGAACCACAGGTGTTCCTCTACAGTGAGTTTGTGGAACAGCACGTTGTGCTGAGGACACATGCCCAGTGACTGCCGAATCTCATCCATCTCTGCACGGATATCGTGGCCGTAGATGGTCGCTGTGCCAGATGTTGGTGGAAAGAGACCTGTCAGGATGGACCTGGAACCGAAACAGATCTCTGTGTCAGGATATAGACTCAAGTCGCTCCTATCACGCTGCATGGCAGTGCTCGAAATAAGCGTTGTCCGGTTGTCCGAGACAACCACAATTTGCGCCGGACAACCTAACCAGTCTGAGACATTGTCCGGTGGACAACCAAGAAAAATGTGACGAAAAACGCACTTTATTTATGTTTTTCTCAGGGGTTCTCCAAGATCACTTATAGCCTGGCGGCCCGCCATTAATCTATGGTGTGGGAAAGCGACGCATACCAGCTGCTATTTCCAACACTGGTATATGTTAGGTTTTTAGCTCATCTGACATAGTCAGATGCAGCTTGTAGAATCGCATGATCGTCCGTGCGTCCGTCCGAGCGTCCGTGCGTGCGTCCGTCCGAGCGTCCGTCCGTGCGTCCGTCAACAGTTGGGCACAAATCTTAACCGCTCGACGTACGGTCACGATATTCGGGACGTGGGGGGGTAATCCGAAAAAGGGGTCGGGATGTCGAAGCTGGGGGTCAAAGGTCAAAGGTCAAGAGGTGTAAAAGAAGGG